CGAAAATTCCCTTTTCCGTTTTCCCATGATGATAGTTGTTTCTCAATCAAGCGAGGGCCTCATAGTCCAGAGCAGTGCAGAAACCTGAAACACAGAAAGTACATCAGAGTAATGTAAACATACGTCCTGAGATGAAACATGAAAGGACACCCGGCAGTCTTGAACTACTTTCTTTCCCTACGCATGTTTACATAAATGCGCACAAGAAAAGATATTTCAAACGAAAAGTAGGCGCAGACCTAACCTATGGTCAGCAACGCGACGTAACTTTTCTAGACTAGACAACTGTCAAACGATTAGACATTGTAAGTAGAGACGCGAGTTCCGGTTGCGAAAATACCTCCTCTCAACGTCTGAGAAAAATAAAGATAGTAAAATATGGAAATACCACTCTATTTTGGAGATTTCAGCGGGAAGTTGATGTTTTCGCTCGGAGCCCAGCGGCTGTCTGCTTGCTCCGCCTTTGTTGACAGGCGGCCATGATGCTTCCACCAGATCGAACCCTCGAACTGTAGAAACGTAAACAAAAAGGAGTCTTGTTATTGCGTTTATTGGCATTTTACGTGTTTAGCATGTCTCTTTGACTTTTATTTGCTAATGTGCGATTTTTTTTTAGTACTTAACATTTTTTTTTGCCTGCGTTTAGAGCTACGTTGGTTTGTGGTTGAGTTGAGAAACAGGACATGTTGAAGCGGGTGTGATGGCAGAATCGACTCGAACAGTTTATCAACATACGTTTCCGCCTAACCCTTTAGCGCCGTGGCCTAGCGTCTCGTCTGTAGCGTCCCTGTTACTTCGTGTTTTTGGAGAGGAGAGGTTGTTGTGAGAATTTGAGTTACTTTTTGTGCATTATTTCGGTGATTTAAAATGGTTCGAGGAAAAGACAAGGTCGCGGCTTCGAATTGTGTAGAAGAAAGCCGTGAGCCCTCTGAAGATAGAGGGATGCTTCTCTTTTGGGTGAAGGAGAAGAAATTCTCTGTGGTAAAACGTGCAGTGGATGTCCAAATCCGAAAAGAAGAAAATGGTGAGGGTGGACGCAGGAACGGATCTGTGGGTCCTACATTCGAAAAAGTGGTACAAAGCAAGGATTCTGTACTTATCAGGTAATAGCTTTTGCCTCTCCATTGTTGTATGTTACTCGCTCCTTGTGTTCCTGTGATCTGACCATGACCTTTTACTTTTGCTTTTATAGATGATATCAAATTTTTGGATTCATTAAGTGTGTCATCTGAGGGTCAAGTGTTCCTGTCCAACACTGTGCCTAAGGATGCTGTGCTTGCTTCAAAGAAAGCCTGGCACAGCGCACAAAAGCGCAAGGAGAATGCCAATCTCAAAGCTTCTCTGAAAGACGCTGAGAAGGATCTGGCAGAGGATGCCACTGAGAAAATAACGGAGTCACCAGTACCAAGTGACAAGGAAGATGAGGACACCCCGACAACAGAGCCCGGACCTGAGTGCAATCACTCGTGCAAACTTTGCTGCTTCCGGAGCCCCTTTCCCCCAGGTTTGTCGATGCTATTCTTTACTTACTTTCCTATGAGAGTATCTGTTACGTGAAAGAACTGCTAGCTGCATTTCATTTGCTGTGCTGCTGACAAGTCTTGCTCTTCACAACAATTTTTCTCAAGCTTTGACATCAGTGAATCATTTGTTCGTTTTACCTATATGCTCTAAAGAAAATAGAAAGTGGAGTGACAATGCTCACCATTTACCATTCTATTATCAAAATACAATTGTATTCCAATATTCTGATATAATGTGCTCTTTGCTTTTTCACAGGTGCCGGCACAATGTTGGAGCATCTTGGTGAGGTTTACTCGTGGTTTAGGGAGAATTCGGGCCAAATGGACTCCCTGGCCAACAAACCGCACTGGATGAAGCCAGGAAAATGGATGTATCCCGCTCTCAATAAGGTAAGTTGTGGTAATATTTTTTGAACAAGGATTAACATGGTTTTCTTGTATAAATTACGTTCAGGGTTTTAAAAATATTTCATCCCTTTTGCAGAGACTAATTGGAGATAGCCAGCACGGAGTGTATGTTGAGCACGAATTCATTAAAGAATGCAAGATGATAGCAGAAACGTCTAAGGACAAAGGCCAGAAATTTATTAAAGAAATGTTGAAGGGTCTTCTCGGGCTTCGAGTCTTCAAGGACACTTCATATAAGCATATGCCTCCAAAACTCAAAGCAGCTTTGGTCGGTGAGTATTATTGTTTTATACTAACTTTGCAAGTCCTACACTGTTCGACCTTTCTAGCAATTAATTTAATTCTTTCCCTTTTTTGTTTCAGACTACTGTAACCAGACGTTTGGCTATGACAGAACGCCAGCGTTCTACACAAAGACTGTTAACAACCACAGGGATTATTTGCATCTAGGACCGACTTCAAAACCACAGACTATTCCAACAAAGAAGCCTAAGGAGCCAGGTGAGCAAACTGTCAAAGGACACAAGCGCAAGGGAAGTGACAGCACGAACACTGACAAAGCTAAGAAGAATCCCTCCCGCCCCACCATTACCAACCCCTCCCCTCCAGTTAGTGCTGCTCCCCAACAACCCATCTCTAACCACCCCCTACACCCCCCAGTAACCCCCCACTT